GCCCAAATGGCATCACACGATATTGCCAGAGACCTTGACCATAACTAAATGCAGTCTTAGGTTTATCTCCTTCAGCCATTTTCACTTGATGGAAACCCGACTTTAAGTCCGGAGTTGAAAAAAACCTGGCTCCACTTAGGGCATAACCTAGGGCATAATCTTGACCATAACTAAATGCAGTCTTAGATTTATCTCCTTCAGCCATTTTCACTTGATGGAAACCCGAAAGAGGTAGTGTTACGACAGCGGAAGTCACGTGACCCTGGTGGCGCGTTGGGGCTGGTGGCGTGCGTGATGAGTTTCTCGAATGATCGGGGAAGTCCGAGTGTGTTCGAGATGCCCTCTTCGTTAGTATATAAGCCTGGCAGTGAAAGCCAGCATTGCTGAATGAAGAGACAGCAGTAGTTACTTTGAGTTCCGTGTAATTTATTATTCTGTTAGTTTCGAGTTAGTGAGCCGTAAAGTGTGTGTTTTGCACTCCTCGAGATTATGAATCGCTGTGATTTATAGCGTGTATTATAAAAGTTGTTAAGTTTAAAGTGACGAGAAATGTACTGATTGTGGAATTACTGTGTACTAAAAGTTTGTATCGAGGAAGAATAAACTGGTTTAATCAATAAAGGACTTGTATCGCTGAAGATCCTCGGAAAGAATTTCTACCGGAAATAAACAAACGAGCAGATACGTTTGTTTGTTTGTTTTTAATTATGCACAAAGCTACACAAGGGCTATCTGTGCTCTGCCCATACGGGTATCGAAACCCGGTTTCTAGCGTTGTAAGTCCGCAGACATACCTCTGTGCCACTGGGAGGCAGCAGATACGTAACAGTATTTTGAAATTCACAAAAACATGTAACATAATTACATTTTACGTATACAGTAAAACATTTCCGAAAGTGAGGAATTGATATTTGTTTTCTGAAGTTGATGGATTCTATATAAATAACATTATTATTGCTTCGCTTGTTAAGTTAATATTTCCAGACTGTTAAGAATTAGTGATCTTCCATCATTTTCATTGGATTTACAATTTTACGTTTTAAACAATTTTGTTTGTTTGTTAGTAATTAAGCACAAAGCTACACAATGGGCTATCTGTGATCTGCCCAACACGGGTACCGAAATCTGGTTTTTAACGTTGTAAGACCTAAGACATCCCGCTGTGCCACAGGGGACAAACAATTTTGTTAGTAGAAAGTATATTTTTTTAAATAAGTATCTGTCTATTGAAATTAGAAGCAAAGTAGTGGGCCATGTATGGCCCAGTGGTTAGTGTTTCGTATTGTGCTTCTGAGGTTCTGTGCCTTGCGTCCCATTATCACCAAAAAACAAATCACCCTCCGCACTTTAGAACTGTGGGTGCGTTATGAGAGTGACGGTCAGATCCCACAATTCGGTCTGACAAAAGATGGTGGTCGATGGTGCAGACTAGCTGTGTGTGTATATCAGTTACAAATTATGGACGGCTAGCGTAAAATTCCTCGTGTAGCTTTGCGCGACATCCAACAAAATAAAGTGATACGGTGTAAAAGTCAACGTAATGTAACTCCGTTATATGACGATTTACAAATTTCGACACTAGATGGCAGCTACGTATAGTATTTTGCGTAAGAAGTCACTCGAATGTATCACCACATTTTTTTTTTTAATGTCGGCCCGGCATGGCCAAGTGATTAAAGCGCTCGACTCGCAATCTGAGGGTCGCGGGTTCGAATCCCTGTCCCACCAAATGGCCCGGCATGGCCAGGTGGCTAGGGTGTTCGACTCACAATCTGAAGGTCGCGGGTTCGAACCTTGTCCCATCAAACATACTCGCCCTTTCAGCCGTTGGGGCGTTATAATGTGACGGTCAATCCCACTATTCGTTGTTCAAAGAGTAGCCCAAGAGTTGGCTGTGGGTGGTGATGACTATCTGCCTTCCCTCTAGTCTTACACTGCTAAATTAGGGACGGCTAGCGCAGATAGTCCTCGTGTAGCTTTGCGCGAAATTCAAACCAACCATTTTTTTTTATATTTTTTATATTTTTAATAGTGAATTTGAAATCAAATGCATACTTATCTATATATATATATATATACGAAATGTGTGTTTGTTTACATCCTAACTTCTCTGAGTCTTTTGGGCCAATGACAACCAAAATGTGTATGTAAACACTATGAACCATGGGGAATGTCCTAAGAGGGTCAAAATAGAATTTAATCCTATTTCTATTTTGTAAAGCCG